CCTGCCTGCCTCTCTGGAATTAATTTCTTCACTGCAACCTCCACTTCTAATCTGTTTCTGAGCATCTCCGCATATATCTTGTTCGCCGTACACAATAAAGATATATCTCTGTAATTCCCACTTTTTCTTTATCCCCTCTTTTATAACGGCACCACAATACTTTTCTTCCAGTCTGCCGAACCTTCTTTCATATCAGCCTCATTAGATCCACTTTTTCGTTAGTCCTTCACCCGCGTAGATCCAAGCCTCCGTTGGTATCCCGTCTACACCTGCTGCCTTCTTTTTCTTTATTTTTTTTATGACTCTCCAGATTTCTACTTCCCCAATCTCAGCCTCTTCTTCACTCCTTGCTACCTCTTCCTTTTCTTTTCCTTTTACTTTCATCTCCTCTATTTTGGCTCCATCCAACAATTCCATAAAATGTCTCCTCCATTCTTTTTTCCTTATATTATTTCCCATACTTAACCTCTTGTCTCTCTTTTTATTTATATACCTCCAGATTTCCTCTTTATTTTTTATTTTCTTCAACTCCTCATCTTCCTCTTCTCTTTTTTCTTTCTGTTTCTTCTGCAACTATTTCCTATATAACCGTTTCTTCTCCACATAACATTCTTTTTTAACCTTCCCTTTTCTTCATTTCCTATATTTTCGTTTTACTTCTCTTTTCTTTTTAGTGCAGCTCCTGTCCCACCTATCCTTATGCCCCAGCTCTCTCATTCTCTTTCTTATCTTCTTCTTTACCATTGCTTCGTACACAGCTTGTTTAATTTCTTTTCACATATGTTTTACCGTACTTGAATCTTGCCCTTCTGTAGTTTCATCCCACTCCACACCTCTGTCTGTTCTTGATACTTTTTTATTGCTTCCTTGTTCCAAATGATAACCTCCATTTCCCTTGCCTCCTCTTTTTCCTCTGCCTCCTTCTCTTCGTCGTCAGCCTTGTCCGACATTCGTAATTCTACCTCCAGCGGCAGGTGATCTGAGTCCACTCTTTCCCCTATCTTAAAATTATCAATACATTTCTCGCTTTCCTCATTTACTATACCATAATCGGTAATTGTCTCCTCTGGCTCCTACATAAGTGTATTCCCCTTCTCAATCACTTTCCGTTTTCCCATTCAAAATCTTCCAGCCTTTTTCACCAACTCACTTAACAAACTCCTTTCCTCCATTACCTACTACGAGTACCTTATCTTTACTATATCTTTCCACCTCCCCTTCCTCACTACTTTCCCCTAACACCCGTTCTTACATTAAAATCCCCTCCTATCAGAATACTCTCCTTCACATTTTCTATGAACTTATTTAATCTCTCCTCTAGATTTTTACCACCCTTTGACTTATACACCGACTATTTTCCAATACTCCTTTTCCGTACCTATTTTTATCATAATCATTCCAGCCTCCTCTTTCTTGTTTATTTCACAGAGTTGTACGTCTCAATCTTCCTTCTTTCCTATTAAAAACCCTCCCTTTGCTCTCCCTTTATTCTTTTTTCTCACTGTATAACTATACACCCCCATATGTATGAAAGATTGCAGTAAAATATAGCAACATTGCAATGTATTTATTTAGAATCATTCAATCACTTGTTATCACGGAAAAAAAGATTAGTTATAGTAGCAAGAATCTGTGGTATAGCTGAATTTCAGTTATAACATCTGAATATATAAAATTAGAGTTTACTTTTAAACTCATTACTCATTGGAAAAAATAACATGTTAGCGTTATTTTTACTCAATAACTAACGAGTTGTTACAATTTTTGTTACTTTTTGACTAAATTTTAACGATTGTTTTTAGAATGGCATAGTTAATTGTCTAAGTTACTAATTGATTATTTCAACACGAAATCTATAGTGGTTATAGTTAATCACAATATAGTATAGTTAATCAAACATAACACAGTAGTTTCTGAATTTTCGGGTTCGCAAACTTCCCTTGTAAGACGAAAATCCTAATACGAAAATGTCGAAACTACAAAAATCACGCTAAAAATCACGCGGAACGGGAATCGTCGTATCCGCATTATAAATCTGTATTAAATCTCAAAGACATTCAATTCCCCATGACGTTAAGTCAAATGAAAAGTTTGAGAATCTCAACGCAATCTCTATCAACGTATATACCATCGAGAACAAGGAACAAATATCGATCCTATCGATTCGTCTTGCCGATATGAAGAAGGAGAAGCATGTCAATCTACTGTACGTGGAGAAAGATGGTGTGGGACATTTCACATGGATCAAGAATTTGTCCCGCCTCGTGAGCTCGCAACTGAACAAAAACGCGCACAAGAAATACATTTGCGATAGGTATGTATAATAAAAACTTTAAAAAAATTTTTTTGAAATAAAAATAAAAATGAAATAAATTGATTTTTTTTCAGGTGTCTACATTATTTCAGTTTGAGCGAAAAGTTGGAGGTCCACACCATAGACTGTGGGGAGATGAACGAATGCGCGATCAGGTTATCGAGCGAAGACGACAAGTGGCTGAGTTTTAA